GTGCCAGCTTATAAATGCTGCTGTCAAATGACTGTAGGTTTTAATGCTAGCCACTTTGTGATTATGATGATACTTCATGCCAGACCATCAGCTACTCACAGTTCAGCATGTCATAATTTCCCAGATTCTTTCTTTTTTCCTAATATCTGAAATCATCTCTTCTCAGCAAGTGGATGTTGGGTAGTGGACGAGGTGGAGGAAGAAGTAATTTGACAGCACCAGGTTCTGCCTGTGCTGCAAGGCTTCAATAGAACTGCTTTCCCTTCTTCCATTTTCCGTACTGCAATCATGAAATGAACTGATGTATTTTAGGAATGAAAGTCAGACGCCATCATCACATCATTGAGGATTGGTGTCAGCCACTGCTTTTTTGGGGGGGAGGGGTGCGCATAGGAGTGAGTGAAATTCTCAATCTTGACTTGACTGTGGAATCACCTGGGAAATTTTTAAAACTCCCCAGCCTGGATCATCCTAACCCCAAAGATACTAATTGACCTGGAGAGTGACATGGGCATCAGGACTTTTTAAATCCTCCCAGTGTCCAAGGTCTCACCAGGCTGTGACTGAAAACCAAGGTCACGTGTTTCCTTTTTTCATTGTAAAATAAAACTTAGCTACAAAAAGTACATAATATGTAAATGTCATCTTAAATTGTTGTAAAGGGAAACCCATGTAACCATGATCCAGCGCAAGAGACGTAACGTCGCCAAGCCCCAGCTGCCCTTGTCTTTTCTCAGTCACCCCCTTTCCCCTATTCTCTAGAAGTGACTATTACCCAGGCACTTTGTAATCACTTTGTTGCTCTGTTTTATAATTTTACCATGAGTATGAATCCCTAAACAACACAGAATAGGTCGGCACGTTTGTGAACTTTGTTGAAATGGAATCATACTTTTTTGTCTGACTTCTTTTGCTCAACGTGATATGTATTTTTTGATTCATTTGTGTTTTTGGAGACAGCTATAGTTCCTGTCTTTTCATTATGCTATAGTTTCCTATTTTGTCAGTATACTGCAATGTCTTTCTCCATTCCACTCCTGATGAATATTTGGGTTGTTTCTGGTTTGGGACTGTTACAACTAGTGCTGCTGGGAGTATTTTCCTGTCTCCTGGTGCGTGAAGGCAGACATCTAGGAGGAGAGTTGTTGGACTCATTTGCTCATCAGAAGGAAGAGAGAGGGGCTGAGCTGCAGTTTTGGTGGGCTCTTGTGATGGCCAGGAGTTGGCATCCGGGAGCCTGTTAACACTCCCGCTGTGGGCTGAGACCTTGGAGGGTTGCACTGCTCTGAGCCGTGTGCCCTGGGGGTGTTGATCTACTGGAGGCAACTGAGAGGCTCAAGATCATCTGCTTTTGGTTGCTTCCTAGGACTGGAAGGACAAGGTTCAGTGCCCATCAAGGGTAGAGATCCTGATGAAACACTTCCCACTCTAGGCTGGGACCCAAGGACAGCCTCCTGGCAATAGGGGACAGGGTGCATTATGGCAGGATGGCTCCTGGCCCAGAAGAACATCAGGCCTTCACTCCAACCTCAGCAGCTGGTAGAAGAAAAGAAATATAGTCTCTGGAGAAAGATAATAACATCTTAGGCCTTGAAGTAGTTCTTTAGTTCTAATCCTCTCCTTGGCCTTGACAGATAAATTCCCTACTATCTTTGGTTCATTGATGCTTTCCTGAAGATGCCTTTGTTTTTTTTTTTTTGGTCTCAGCTTTTTTCATTATCTTCAGCGGGCAGTTTGGTATGAATCAGTTGTTATGGCACATGCTTCCATCTTGTATGAGTGCCATAAATCTTGGCTTATTTCAGATGCCTCTGCTAAAATACCCTGGGGGTTTCCAGGGAATGCTGATGGGCTTTTCCAGTCTATTCTCATGGTTGCCTAACACCCCAGGCTACTGCCCTGCCCTGCTGCAGGTTCTCTCCTGCAACATTGAGTCTAAGATCCTTCAGGTAACTGTTGCTATCTCGTACTACTTTGTTCCGAGCATGGACGTAGGCTGTGGTATGCTAGAGCTGGCCCATATTGGTTCATAAGAGCTGTTGTTAAGTTGTCAGGAATTATATGAGCCAGTGGTTAAACACAGCCATTATTAAAAATTAAGTGATATAAACTTACAATTTAAATAAATTATATTAAAAACAAAATTCGTAAATATTCAAAACTCACTTCCTTATTATTATATGATGTTTTACTATTTATGCTCTTGAGGTTATTTGTGTCTATTGGATCTGTAGGGTAGAAATGCTATATAATGGCATGCTATGGCACATCTCTTCCCAACTCTGCTTTTAGTGATATCACTGCTTGGACAGCCATGGCGGAAATATTTATGCCATGGAAGTTGGCAAATGCTATAAACCAGGGCTTTTTTTTTTTTTTTTTTTTTTTTAAGAGCTAGTGGTTAAACACTTAGCATATCACTGGACATAGGCCCCCTTTTCAAATCCTTACAGCAGAGTTCAAACAGACTCAAAGTATAGAGTTTAACAAGACAATAATACAAAGGAGTTATCATTTGGAGAACTTAAAAACTGGATATTAGAAGTGGTTATTCTGGTCACAAGCCTACACTTTTGATGATAGTCCTTAATGTTGCTGCTTAGCCTAAATACTGTCTTGGCTATTTATTAGTGGTGGAATTCAACTTTCCTGCCTAGCTTTGGCCTACCCTCAAAGAGAATGATGTTGCACAGGTCTTTGCTATGTGGATTCCAGGCCGCAACCATCTGAGTGAGATACACAGAGAGTAAAACAATTTCCTTCCTTCCCCTGTCTACCCACTCCTCCTTTTCCCTTTTCTGTTCTCACTCTTTTGCCCTAAGATTGAACTCCTCCCAAGATGGTTGACGGCGGGAATGTCCGTCCTCCTTACTTCTTACCATGAGGCTAACCTGGCTCAGAATGCAATACTCAGTGTATTTCACAGTGTCTGGTTTATTCAGTGTTGAATAAAGCCACCCGTGGAGCTTCAACAGAGCAGTCCAGGTTGAGATTTGGCCTCTGAAGACTGGCCTCCACTTCCCCTTTCCTTGAGCAAGTAGACACCCATTCTAAGAGTAAACAATAATGCTTAGATATAGTGTAGTCCAAATCCAGATTTAGCAATAAAGACACCAACATATTTTCTCTTCAATATAATCTACCTGCACAGGACACAATTTAAAGGATTGCCTTATTTATTTAAATACCTATGTAGAACCTACTTTTATCTCCTCTGTCTGGAACATTTGTATTTAAGATTCCTCATTGCTCTCAGAACTTCCCTAAGAAGAAAATGTGCTTCAGAATATATTCAAAACCCATCACTTCTCCTTGCTGGTCACCTGATCCAGCCAACTCCACCCTCCAGTGGACCACTGCAGTAGCCTCCTAAGTGGTTTCCCAGCTTCCACCATTGCCCCTCTTCAGTCTGTTCTCAGCACAGCATCCAGAGTAATCTTGTTAGACTACAAGTCGAATCAGATTGTTTCTTTGCTCAAAATCCTCTCACGTCTTCTCATTTCACTTAGAGAATAAACCATGTTTACCTGCGTAGGATCCTCCTCCTTACTGCTTTGACATCCATTGTTCTCCCTGTGACTCACTTTGCTCTTGCCAAATGGGCTGTCTTGCTGTCCTTTGAACATACCGGATGCTTTCTTGCCTTAGGGATTTTTCCTGGGATCTACTTGCAGTAGGGAATGCTCCTATCCTAGAAAGCTATTTCAATCCCTTATTTCCTTCAGATCTTTTCTCAAATGTCACTTTTTTTTTTTTTTTTGCTGAGGAAGATTTTCTCTGAGCTGACATCCATGCCAATCTTCCTCTATTTTTTAAGATGTGGGCTGCCAGCACAGCATGGCTGCTAGCAGAGTGGTGTAGGTCTGTGCCCTGGAACTGAACCCGGGCCACTGAAGTGGAGCATGCCAAACTTAACCACTAGGCCACCGGGACTGACTCATCAAATGTCACTTCTTAGTGACAGCGCCAATCATCTTCTTTCAATTACAACCCTCCCATATTTTCTATTCCTCTTTCCTCCCTAATACTTATCTTCTCACTTACTCACCACCCCCATATATACATACATATATATATATATATATATATATATGTGATCTTGTTTATTGTCTGTTTCCTGCCACCATTAGAAAAATTTTTATCTGATTATATCATGTTGAATTACCATTGCCTAGAACCTAGTATCTGGCACATAGTGCTTTCTTGATAAATACTTATTGAATGAATGAATGAATGGTGGATAGAGTGGCAGAACAGACATCAGTTAGGTGCTGGAGACCTAGGTTTTAATTTTTGCCTTCGCCTATAATAAGCTCTGTAACGCTTATTACGTTCTGTTCCTACATCTCTGTGTACTTATCAACAAAATGGGGATATAATGACTGTTTCACATGCCTCATTGACTTTTAGTGAGGCTCATGCAAGGAAGTGCCCTACATAGGTGTGGGGGGATATTTGTACTGTTTTACTCATTTATACCCAGTATAGTGAGCAGCTAGCTCCATCCACCTTGCCTTAAACCACTCCCAAGCAAAGCTCTCCATGTGAACACAGGGTAGGGCTGGTGGGTTCATTTTTGCATCTCCCTCTGAGCATTTTAGTGGGTCCTTTACTTACCGCTTAGATCAGATAATTGGACTTATTAGAAGCCATTGAAGACCTGAAGAGTGACATAACCTACCACAAGGGTCCGGAACCTTTTGTGTGTCCAGCATTGTGTTAGCTATTCTACATATGATCTCCTTTCATCCCCACTCAACTCTTTAAGGAGAATATGGTTTCATTTTAGAGATGAAGACATTGAGATTTAGAGGCATCTAGTACCCCTCTAAGGCACCAGAGCTGATAAGAGACAGCCCAGGGGAGAATGCCTGTCTCTCTGACTCTAACACCAAGCTCCCATACACCTCAGGAAATGGAGGTTTTTAATCCAAGAGCCGAAAAGTGAGTATGCTCACTCCTGTGGGTGGTGTTTCTCATGGGTGTTTCTTTCTTTTCAGACCGTTTATGACCAGTGGTTCATTACCCTCTTTAACATTGTCTACACATCACTGCCTGTTTTAGCCATGGGGATTTTTGACCAGGTATGTGATTTTCTGTCTTTATAACTTAATTTGCTCTATTGATGCCTTTTAGTTGCTTCTAGCTCCTATGTAGAAGACGCAGCCGTGGAAAGAGTCCTAGGAGTGCGGTTGTTTCAATAGGCGTTACGTGGCTCAGCAACCCTTCCAGATCCCCCACCTCCCCAAAAGGCTTCTCTGATCACTGTGGCTGCTCTCCTCTCAAAGATTCCCACCCCACATTGTTGCTCTAAAGGCTCTGGGATGTCCTATAGGAAGTCGTCTCTCTCTTTCATTTCATCTTAGCCCAGCGTTTCCCAAACTCCTATGAGCGTTTTACTTATTTATTTTTCATACAGAACCTATTAATATACCTCAGAACTAGCGCCTTGTGGGTCACACCCCAGGAAATAGTGTATTACTCTGAGAGTTCAGGGAACCACACTCTGATAGATGGAAAATCATGGGCCTAGATTGGAGCGCAGAGAGCTGGCATCTGCGATGAGCCTCTGTTGGCCAGCACAGCCCAGCACAGGAGCAACAGGCCTGAGGAGCACCCTGCCAACACAGGAGGAAGACACGAAGCCCCTCGGCCGTAGAGAGGAGGGGCACAGTCTTCCTTTGTCTAGCTCAACGTGCTTGAGGGGAGAGAGGGAGGGAATCAATTATTAAAATGGTAGATCCTTGGCACACTCAGACCTTGGAAAGCACTTCCTGGAAGAGGGGGAAAGTCTGGCTGCCTATGGGGAAGTGGAAGGCTAGCCAGAGGAGTTTCCATGGCACAATTAGAGTGTATTGTTTAAAAAAATTTTTTTGAAGTATTTTTAAGGAGACCAGATTTTCTCCAGGCTCTTGTTAGATCTGTTGGCTAGGCCTCATTTTCTGGCCCAAAGCCGTCTATTGCAAAATATAAATCTTAACATTATGAGCTCACTCCAGTCTCCTATTCTATCACTTTGTAGTCCCTTGTAAGCCTAACTTCTCATACGTAAAAGGGCCAGCTTGTGAAGGGCTTATTTTGTGGAATTCTACAAAAAATAATGAATTACCAAAGGCCTGAGATGTAAAGGATGGAGCACATTCATTTCCAAGTGCCCATGCTTTCAAGGGTTTCTTTCCTTGGTGCTTTATAGCTGCCCAGAATGTGGAATGAAATAATAAAAATAAAGCAGTTTCTGGGAAAAGATGGTTATTGTGCAATTTGAAAATAAAATATAATAAGGCCCCTTATTGCCATCAAGTTGAGTGTCTGCCCCTCTCCTTTCCCACTTTGTCAACTTTGGCCCTTAAACTGATCGCGGGATCACAGAAGGCAATGCTGCAAGGCTTGGTGATCATTTATGGATCCACTCATTTTATAAGGAGGAAACCAATGCTCAGAGGTTCATGAAGCCATATGGCCAATAAGTGACAGAAGTCAGCTGAGCACCAGGCACGTAACTCTGAGGTTGCTGTGCTGTTCCTATTGTTATTATTACCATCATCACTATTTTACCTGTTATTATTTATAGAAGCATCTACTATTTATTACCTACAGTGTGGCAAGAACTCTGCTGAATACATACCTATTTACTCATGACAGTGGTCCTGTGAACGAGGTGCTGTTGTGTGCATTTCTGGAGATGAGGAAACTGAGGCTCAGACAGGTTAAGGAACAGGTCTAGGATTACACACCTGCTAAGCAGCAGAGCAGGCTTTGAACTCAGGATTGTCTGGTTTCAAGCCTGTGTGTGGAGCCCCACCAGTCACTGAGCAGAAGCTCCCAACAACATCCTCAAACAGAACTTCCTAAGAGAATATGTCAGTGTTCTTCATGGGACCCTGTTTGGCAAGATCCAGCAAGTGGGAAGGGGAACTTCGTCTGCCCCCAGCGTTCACTCCTGTGTTGCTCCTTCTTCCATTGCTTCTCCTCCACCCGTGGTCCTCTGATGTCCCCAGTGGTCAGTCTTTGCCATCCTTTTTGGTTTTGGCATTTGGCTTCAGTGCTCACAATGTCATCATCAGCATTACTTTGGATCTGGTTGGAAACGCAGAGCCTCAGGCCCCACCACAGACCTACTGAATCATAATCTGCTCCCCAGGTGATCTGTGTGCATAGTAAGTTTGAGATGCACTGCTTTAGTTTCTCCCGGGACGCTGTTGGGCCCAAACATGATGCCTTCTCCTTCTGCTTCAACTTTTTGTCCTGAACTCTTGGAAGAAGCTGCTGTTGGAATCCTCGCTGGGTAGAACACTCAGCTCTTCAAGCTCAGCTCCCTTCCCACCTGGGATCCCACATGGAATTTCCCCCTTTCCCTGTTCCCCTCACCCAAGTGCTCCCCGACTCCCACCCCCCAAAGTTGGGAACGCCTATGGCCAATTCCAACTCTGCAGCTCTCTGTTGCCATCTCCTGATCACTACCACTCACTGCTTTGGCAATTAGCCCCTGGGGGCCCATAGGCTGTATATAATGTACTAGAACTCTGGGAGCATGAGTGCAGCTGCAGGAGCGTATAGGAAGGAAACTTCAGCTTGAAGCCAAATATATGGGTGCAAGTCACGTTCTGGTTCTGCTAGAACTGCTGTGTGACCTCTCATAAATCTCAGAGACTCAAGTTCCTCCTCTACAAAATAGGGATCATTTTATTATCTTTTCGGTTATGGTGAGAATGAAAATAAGGCAAGAAGTAGTGCATATTAGGTCATGCTTAGCCATGCACTGGCTATTTCCAGAGACGGGGAATTCTCTCTCTCTGACTTCTCCTCAAGCCTCCTCCACTGAAGTACTATTCTGTTGACAGGATGTGAATGACCAGAACAGCATGGACTATCCCCAGCTCTACCAACCTGGACAGCAGAATCTACTTTTTAACAAGCGTAAATTTTTAATCTGCATGGCGCACGGAATCTACACCTCATTAGCCCTTTTCTTCATCCCCTACGGGGCCTTTTACAACGCAGCTGGAGAAGATGGGCAGCACCTTGCAGACTACCAGTCTTTTGCAGTTACCATGGCCACATCCTTGGTCATTGTGGTCAGTGTACAGGTAACCCTGCTGGTAAAAATATCTTAATTTGATAGCTTTACAACTTTTAAAATTTCGTTTTATTGTTGACTGATTTTGTCTACTTGTTGGGGGAAAAATAATAATTCTAAAAGAGTACTGGGGTTTTCTTTTTAACTACACATTTTGAGATGAAAACAGGAAGCCTTAATATGTATTACCAGACGTAGGGGATTAGCATTGGGTGTCTATAACATTCATGTTAGTAGAAACCTGACAAGGAATCACTTCTTGGGGTTGAGCATTGTATATAAAGAGAACTGATTATATGCTACGTCCTTCTTGCATTTGAAGGAGAAAAGTTTTCCAACAATAACACAATGAGAAATTTTCCCGTGATTTCTATAAGACTTAATAGCTTTCAGGTTTTAAAGTAAGATCTAAAGTTTATTGGGTAATACATTTCTGTGGAATTATTCAAGAGGTTCAATGTCATCTGTGGCATATACGAATCTCAAATTCAGAGAAGCTCTTCTGGTGGGGGAGATTTCTGATGATCATTGGTCTTTATTGGACAGCTTGAGTTTGTTTGTATTTCCTTTTCAGTGTAAATGGTGGACAGTGTTGTTAGATATGAGGTAGAATTCACAAAAGCTTTCTGATGCTTTAAAGTCTGTACCTGTGTGTGGATACAGCAAGCAATGTGAACTCGGTTTTTTGTTTTGTTTTGTTTTGTTTTGTTTTTTAAAGGGCAAGTATCATTTAAGGGCTTAATTTTATTTTCCTTCCCCAAAACCCCAGTACGTGGTTGTATATCCTAGTTATAAGTCATTCTAGTTCTTCTATGTGACCCACCACCACAGAATGGCTACTGACAGACAAGTGTTACGGTTCCATGAGTGGGAAGTGAAGCCAGGCCACCAAAGCAGTGAGTGCCAAACTTTAACCACTAGGCCATTACGGCTGGCTCAAGGGTTTAATTTTTATAGAGTTTGAATTGCCTTTGGTCAGTCCTTTTTCTATCCTATAAACAATCCCTTTTATAAACCTTAGCTGCTCATATCCACCAGAGGATCTCATTAAACCCCAGACTTTCTCTTCACGACTCAATAAATATTTATTAGATTGAATGAGTCAAATGTAAGCGTATTGCTTTTAAAGGACGTTTCTGCCATTCCTTCATCCATCTAAGTGAGTATCATTCAGTTTACACCAAAGTCATCTCACACGTGACATCTTGGGAGTTCAAAAATTCAGGATCAGGGGGCTGGCCCAGTGGCGCAGCAGTTAAGTTCCCATGTTCCGCTTCTCGGCGGCCTGGGGTTTGCTGGTTTGGATCTCGGGTGTGGACACGGCACCACTTGGCAAAGCCATGCTGTGGCAGGTGTCCCACGTATAAAGTAGAGGAAGACGGGCACGGATGTTAGCTCAGGGCCAGTCTTCCTCAGCAAAAAGAGGAGGATTGGCAGCAGACGTTAGCTCAGGGCTAATCTTCCTCAAAAAAAAAAAAAAAAAATTCAGGATCAGCAAGTAGCATCCAAAAGCAGAACCAGATTTCTCCACTCAAAAAGGAGTTCTGTTTGTCTGTTTCACAACTAAATAAAGCCTCCTGAAGCTCTGTGACCCCTCCGTGCCTAGTTGCCCTATATTCAGTTCTGTAGCAAAGGAGGAAGTACGTAGTGGAGTGACTTGGAAGCCTCTGACATAGCTAAGGCATTCATCATGAGATTCTATTACCTGGATAAGGTGTGTGTCACCTCACAAGAAGCTATTGATGCATCTTTTCTTATAGCTGTTGCCACGATATTGGGCACTCCAATCTCTGTTTTGTTTTCTTGTCTTTTCGATCACTGAGTGCAGTCTGTGTATACTCTTATGGTTCCAGCCCAGAAAATTAGGTGATCTACTCCTTGTCGTGAGGGCGTGTTTCCAGTTCTCTGGATTCTCCTTCTGGTGGGGAGGGCAGTTGTTGGATGTACAGGGACATGGCTTTAGTGGTAACAGCTTATTCACCTCCAGATCAAGCCTGTTACTTGGTGCTCCAAGAGATAATTTGAAAGGTAGTAACTGAATTAAAAGGCCAATATCTGAGAGAAAAAGCAAATGGAAAATATACTTCAAACTGTCCTTAACATTATCTGCTATATCAGTGAGGGTAAAAAATTACCTGGAAAATTCTTTGTAGATGTGACAGGCATTATATGTTTTTAGTGAAACTAATTTTCATAATTAACCCTACAATTTTTGGTTAGCTTTATCTTTTTAATTAAAAAAAAAAACCCTGTTGATATTCCTATATCTCTTTTTCTCTTTTTCCCTTTGCTTGTCCATAATTGATTTTCTTATATTCTATCACAGCAGCCAGTGCTGTGTTTTTATATTAACTTTAGATTTAGAATTTCAACTTGAGGAATATATAGATTCTCGTCAATTTAGTCTAACACTTATTTTTATTTCTAGGAAGCCCTGAAAATATTTGCTTTACCATAGAATTCTCAGACTTGAGTGTGCAAATGCTTTTAACCATGAAGGCTCAGCGATGTTGGCTTCAATCAGAAACTGCTGTCCTTAATACATAGAATAAGTTTCAGGAATTTTGTGAATCAGCTCACTTTGACAGGGGCATTCATATCCTTTTCTCATTGTCTATGCTTGACGTCGTTGTGGCAATAACTCCCATGAAAGTTCCATGATCTATAATTACAGTTAGAAATCTTATTTACGTGTCCTGATGCTATAGGCCAATCTTCAGCAGTCTCATTTTTTAAAAAAAATCAGGTTTTTTTTTTTTTTAGTAATTTGAATTATAAAATACTCCTTTTGACATTTCAAACAATATAGGAGTGTTTAGAATAAAATGAACTATCTTTCTTTCCTTCCCCATGCTCCCTTGGTTAACTACCATTATGATTACCAATAGCTTAAATCCTTCCACATTTTTTTCTTTGCTTTGAGACACACACACATACAGTCAACAAAAGAGATCATAGCTTTGCATATTATTCTGTAAAATGCTTTTCTCACTTAACCATATATTCTGGACAGCTTTCCAAATCAGCACATTCAGATCCATCTTAATCTTTTTAAGATCTGCACAGGATTTCATAATATGGGTATGCAATAATTTATTCATCAGTTCTCTATTGACAGACTTTCAAGATGTTTCCATTTTTTGTTGTTGTTATTGAAGCGAAGCTGCAATGCATACACTAGTACATGTATTTTCGGTACTGTCAGATAAATTCCCAGAAATGAAATTTCTGGTGTCAGAAATCCTGTTATCAAGCTGATAGATGAAAAATGGTATTTTGCTTTTTTCATTGCTGGGTCAGAGAGTATATACATTTTAAGTTTCACAAATATTACCATATTAATTTCCAAAAAGATTGTAGTTACAGACAGCAGACACTTGTTTAAGTTAAAAAGATCTATTAAAAACTACTCAGTAGCTCCAGAATATTCAGGAGAGCAAATGATCCAAGGAGGGCACAACCAGGCACAGAACCATTGGAAGCAACACCCAACCACGTGGCTGCATTGTCCTGGTGAAAACTCTGCTATGACCACCTCTTACAGCTGGTCTCTGAACACACTGGGGACCGGATGCCAGAGGGTCAGCCACAGAATTCCAGAGAATTATCACCTCCACCACCAAGCTCGTCAAAGACTGAGAGAAGTGTATTATAGTTTTCCACTGAGACTGTGAATCTTACCATGTTCTCCTTGTATTTCCAAATTTTATCTTATATAATTCAAGCCTATTTTATTGGCTGCATCATGGTTCTTGATCGTTACTTGTTCTTTGTAGCTTTTATCATTTTTCATGATAAAATATCCTTACGTAGGTTTCAATTTTTTTATATCAGTTTTACTTTTCTTGCTTTTTTCAGTCCACACTTGCTTGATATATAATCTGGGCCCATCCCTTCATTTTTATTTCTTTCTTATCTCATTCTATTAATTTTTCTCCTTTGATGAGAGAGTTCAGTTATTCGTTTTTGTGTAATAACTTATGTATTTTATCTTGCTTCTTTCATGTTGTTTTATGAGTACTTTTAATTCTACATTTTTATTTTCACTTTTTCCTTTGTGTACTTAGGTGCATTGTGATTTTTTAAATATCCTATTTATTGTGAATAATTTACAGTTTACTATTGTATTCCCATTTTCCTAGTGATTTCTCCCTATTTTCATAGTCATTTAAATCTCTATTTCCGTACTGGTATACCAAAATTAAACAATTAGTTTCTCCACCAAATGTTTCACTATCCTGTTCCACACCTTCCCTCATCTACCTCCAAATCAAACAGTTTTGGAAATTTTTTAAAAAAATTATTTTATTGAGGTCACACTGGTTTATAACATTATGTAAATTTGAGGTGTACATCGTTATATTTCATCTTCTGTATAGACCACATCATGTTCACCATCCAAACTTTAGTTTCCATCCATCACCATACATATGTGCCCCTTTACTCCTTTTGCCCTCCTCCCACTCCCTTCCCCTCTGGTAACCACCAATCTGTTTTTCATATCTATTTGTTTGTTTATCTTCCACATATGAGTGAAATCATACGGTAGTTGTCTTTCTCTGGCTGACTTAATTCACTTAGCATAATACCCTCAAGATCCATCCTTGTTGCAAATGGCACGACTTCCTCTTTTTATGGCTGAGTAGTATTCCTTTGGAAATTTTTTTGCTTTACTTCTCCCTTCCTGCCCCTACTCTCTTCTCCAACTCTTGCATGTTAATAATTTAGAATTTTAGTTCCAGGATGTTATTAAATGCTCCTTAACATATGTTTTGATTGCTGCAAAAGTTCTTTCTAAATTAATACTGCAGCTCATGTGCAAATTATTACTCATTTAGAGCCAACTATAAATTTATAAGAATCATTGCTTACCACCATTTTTATGCTCTTTGTCTTTTGCTATTTTGAGGTCTTTCTTCTGATTTAATTTTTAGTTGGTTATAGAAATTTCCTTGAGTAATTCGTTCAAAAAAGGTACATGGGTGTATACTTTTGAGTTCAAAGCTTTCTTTCCTTGTCTTTACATTTAAATGATATATTGGATAAGCATAAGATTCTTGAATCAAAGCCTTTTTCTTTAGGAACTTTGTAAATGTTATTCCACTTTATCCTAGTTTCAGTATAGTAGTTTGATATTAGGTTGATTCACTTTCCTTTGTAAGATCTTCTCTATCTAGAAACTTATGTTCTTTATCCTTGGACTTCACATCTGTCACCAGAATGTATCTTCTTTAATTAATTTGCCTACGTTTTAGAGTGCCCTCCCAATCTGAAAATCTTTCCTGTTTGTTATCACAGTGTGGTTTTCTTCTGTCATTTCTTTGATTGTTACTTCTCTATTTGTTTCTTTTTCTCTTTCTAAAATGCCGTTATTTGTATATTGGGCCCATGAATCTGACATCTATGGATTTGCCATCCACGTCTCATATGTTTTTGCACAAGGTTTCCATTTCTTCAAGTTTTTGCTCTCTGTTGTGAGATATTATTTCCATTTGTTTTTTCCAGAATATTAATTCAATTCTCATCAGTCTAGTCTTATTTGGTTTCTCTATTGAATTTTTAAAATCAGAAATAATGATTTTTCTTCCAGAATATTTTTCTGTGATCTAATTGCATCCCCTTAAGAGTCCCCATTACTTTTTTTTGGGTCATAGTGCTTGTCTGTCTTTTCCATTAGTTCTGCCTCAATAGGAGCCACCTGTTCTTGTTTTTCTGGTTGAGCCCTCTTAAGTTGGTTGTGATGTTTCTTTGCGTACTCATACCCACACGGGTCAGGCTATTGGTATCTCTTGAATGGTGATGAACTTACAAGTGGTGGAAGGTAAAGTTGGAGATATTGGTCTAATGTTTTGGCAGCCAAATGAACTGGAAAACCATCTCTTTGCCGAGGCTTGGATGGCAGGGATCCCTGTTCTCAGGCCTCTTGTGGAAAGAAAAGATTGTCCGTTTATCATCTCTGTAGTTTACATCAAGGCTGCCAGCATCCTTTTAATAGGACAACATTTTAAAGGACAGTAAACTTCAAGTGGGAAGGGGAAGTATGTCTCCATATGCAGAGAAAGATCTATTTACTATGTAGGTAGGGCCCTCGGGCAGGTAAGAAATGTGTGGTCTTGCACTAGACTCTGCTAGAAATGCACACCTGCACTCGGGCCATTTGGGACCTCTGAGATGCAAAAATGATGCAAGAACCAACTTTTCTTTCTCTGAGAACTCAAGGGTTAATATTCATCAGTGGCTTCCTTGACTCCTCAGTGGCAGGCCACTCTTTTTTAGCTGCACTGCCACAACAAGTTATTGGAAAGGAGAAAGCCCCCATGTATCCCAGCTTCTGAATTTTACGCCAAAAGAGGATTAAGGATTTTTATTTGTTATTCTTTGAATAATTTAAAGGGAAGGATCATTAAAATGAGTTAGAACAGTGATGGTAAATGATTATGCCAGTGTAAAAATGGTCATGTGAAAATTTATGTACAGATTATAAAATGCTGCACTTGCTCACTACAGAAAAATTTTTTTTCCAATAGAAAAGTTTTAAGAGCAATTTGGAAAGTAACTTTGAAATTAGAAACCATTCTGCTTTCTTATTTCTCACTTAAAAGAAGTTTAACATTTTATCTCCTGATTCTGACTCAACCTTGGCAGATGTAATGGCTTGCAGATATAAGTTCTAATGTCAGTTGTCTACTGGAAATATCAAGTCAGTCTCCCATGTTGTGCAGAAAGTGGGAGTGCCTGTGGTTGGCTGGTAGCTAGACAGATGCGACCATCTTTTCACAAAGCATTCTGGGGCAACATCACTCAGTGAAATGATGTTCTTTTAATCCTCAAAGACCTCCCCTTTGCATTTGACTTTATTTGCAGATAGCCTTGGATACCAGCTACTGGACTGTCGTTAATCACGTCTTCATTTGGGGCAGCATTGCCACTTATTTCTCCATTTTATTTACAATGCACAGTAATGGCATCTTTGCCATCTTCCCAAACCAGTTTCCATTTGTTGGTGAGTGAGTCCTACTATCTCCTGGGGCTTAGTGTCGTGCTGTCATTTATTTGTCTTTGTAATTTCTTTTCTGTGTTGGGTGGGACTAGGGATGATTGGTAGTCTTTTCTCTAGGAATTAATTGAGCCAGGCATCTGAAGGCTCCCAGGCTTGAAAAAGGCTCCAAAAGATTAGTTTCTTCTGTCCTTACCAGGTTCAGAGGAATCATTGAGATAGCTGCTTATAGGTTCCCAACAGCCCAGATGCAATAGACTGTCGCTTCGTAAACAAGAGGCATAGCATATGTATCAGGACTACCTGAAGACCTGGGAAAAGTTCATGTATGCTAGAGGGAAGAGAGAGAAATACTAGGCTCTCCCTTTTTTGCCACATTATCACCAACATCTCTGCCAAAGTTCACCTGTGGAATTTATTTGCATTTAGATAAGAAAGAAATGATGTATAATTTAGAGTCTTCTAAAAATTGCTGGACATTAGTTCATAAGTGGCACAAGAAGTAGGCTCTGTAGTTAGACAGCCAAGGTCCAAGTGTGACCTCTATCACTTACAAGCTATGTGACCCTGGGCAAGTTTCTTTTCCCTTTCATGCCTTAACATCTTCAGTTCTAAACTGGAAATATTAACAGTTCCTATATTCATAGGAAATTTGCGAGGGTCAAATGAGATAACACATATAAAATGCTTAGCATGTAGCCTGGTACATAGTACTTTTTCAATAGATGTTAACCATGATTATGGTGATAATGATGGTGATGATGATGATGATGATAATGATGATTATTCAAGCAAGTGCGGCTTGATTACTGGTTGGGGATATTGCAGAGTGATTTCATCAAGAGATAGATAGCAAAGGACCTCCTAAAATCCCTTAAAATCCTCAGATTCTACGATTCTACAAAGAGTGTACATCTGATCTATCTGTGGAGTATAATACCATTGCACTTCACATTTCAAAATGATTCCTAGCAAGGGCCACCAAAGGGCCAGCCGTTGACACAGTAGGGCTCTTAATATACTTTCTCAGAAGTTTTGAAATCTCTAATGTGTGAGATAGGTTGGTAAGAGTGATGTTTCTGAGTTCATCCCAGTAAACTGTGGAAAAGAGAGACACACAGTGACATCCTTCTTGAGCTCAATCAGGGCAGACTGAGATTTTCATCCACTAGTTGGGGAACTCAGTCTAGAGAAACAGTTCTTAGAAGACTGATTCATATAGAAGTCGAAACAAGAGCAACTGTGAGATTATACATTTCCGTTGAGGCAAAGGCACCTGAGATTATAATTCCTTTAAAATTCATACTTACACTTAAGAATGTTGTTCTTCAACTTTGCCTTGCCCTGCATGTACATGGAAATCTTTAAATTGCACCACTCTTACTTAATACATAATATTGATACTATGTTTACCCAAAGATTCCAACCATGTAGAAACAAGATAGTTATGAATAAGAACAAGCATGTTAGGAAAGAAAGACATTAGAACTATTTTTAAGTTTTTTCTTTTTATTTGGTTGCCAAATCTGAAAGTTCAGTGCATTGACCAAAAGACTTCCAGTCGTAAGAGAGCATTCTAGCATGCGTAATGAGACTGGAATGCCTCAAGTGGAGAAAGTAGTTTGTGGGGGGACCACTCTCTCTAGCTAAGCACATGCCATTCCAGGAATTAATTACTGAGCTCCAATGAGACTTTTCAAAAGTTAGATCAACATTGGGGTTTAAGAAAAATTTTTTTTTCCTTAGTAGCCAGCAGCAAGCAGGAGTGTGGTTTTAAAGTGAAGCTTGTTTTTCCAGCCATGCCTGGGGGGACTGAGCTTCAAGGAGCTCAAAGAGACATTTAATTTATTGAGCCAAGTTTGTTTCTGCCCAGGAGACTGGAATCAACTGCTCTTTAGTAGGCAGATTCTGTCCTTCAAATCCAGAAAATGTAGACATACCAATCAGTAGCCAGGCCCTCATACCCAAAGTCCATTCGAATGGTGTTAATACTTTAGCATTAGGAGAGGGAACCTGGATAATTAGAGGTATCATGGTAAATCCCTAGAAAACCAACCAGGACAAAAGTTTATTTTGGTGATATAAATAGGGTTGACATCTTCCCGTAGAATTTGTCTGTCTGCCTTACTGACACTTACTGCTTTGTTTAAACAAACATTCCAGTATATGAGATGTAAGTATAAGACAAGGAAACTGGCTTCAGGCTTAGAAATGAGTTTCACTACTCTATTGCATTAGCATGTTGGATGGCTGCATCAGCAGGCTCTCAGTAAGGGGAGTGGTCTTTTCACAAACCCAGGAGGATCCCTGATCTCCTGGGAACCTTGAGTACTTCATATTCAAGTGATCGTCAGAGAAATCAGCAAGTCCCTTTGAGGCAGGTTTTTTGGGGCTGTTGCTTGAATTTAAAAGGCTGGCCCTGTAGTCAATAAAGCTCACCTTTTATGACATAACTAGCCACCAAGACCATTATTTGAGATTGTACCTGTATCCAGGACATATATTGTGTACTTATGATATGATAGTTTTATTCGAGTCCATAAGGGTAAATCTGCCTTTTAAAAATAATGGCTGCTTTGTAGTCAAGGGATCTTGAGGCTGGATGGGAGAATTCTGTGTCCTGAGTGAAACTGGGCTGAGCCTAGATCAGAGATGCCTGGCTCTGGCTGGCAGTCTCCAAATGATCAGGCCATGAAGCAGTTCCCAAGGGTGGTGATCTGATCACTCTTGCCTTCTCCTCATCACCGTTGCACATGCTTTACACTGGGGAAGACACCTAGGGGTTCTCCTAGGTAGTGCCAACCTCACCATTTCAAAAAAGACCTAATGGTAACAGTCAAAGAGCCTATTAATTCAATAATTCAGTCCTATTCATAACCACAATGTATATTTTTCTTTAATAATAGGAAATGCACGACATTCCTTGACCCAGAAGTGCATTTGGCTTGTTATTCTCTTAACCACAGTTGCTTCAGTTATGCCTGTGGTGGCATTCAGATTTTTGAAGGTGGATTTGTTCCCGACCCTAAGTGATCAGGTATGTTGGAGTACTGAAGAGTACTTGAATGGCTGGTTGTTGGCTCTTGGAATCATGTCCTTCTTGGAAGCCCAGGGAAGGGTGAATGAATGTGTCATTGGAAACACTTGCAGGTACACAGCATCACATCACAGTAGATGGAATGGCCCACATCTGAATGTAGTAGCCTTGTGAGTGCCGAAGAAGATAAAGGACTAGACTAAATGTGGGTGGGGAGTCACAGATTGCAAGTTAAATTGGGTATTTTTAAAAGTTGACGTTTAAAAAAGAAGCTTACTGAGAGCATTTTGGACAATTGTTCTAAGGCAAAGGCAAGCTAGAGGGAAAGTTATTGACCTGGGGGGAAGGAGGGGCAATACAGGGAGATAGGTATGAGGTGGAGGGACTCTAAATATTTGTGGAAATGTGTAAGCAGATCCAAAAACATGGGGGAGATGTTATATCCTGAGCAGATTAAGAAAGGGAATAGCAACAGTATGGCTGGATTGTAAAATATAAAGTTAGAAGGAAAATAGAAAGAACGGATTATAGGAATACCTAAGCCAAGGCATTAACAGAACATATTTCAGTATTTCAGGGGCAGAATGGTATAAACAAGACGATGTCAAGTTAGGTCAGGACCCAGATAAAAAGAGAAAAGGAGAAAGAAAGGGGAGACATACATTCATAGCCGTGTCATGAGAAGGGGAAATGTTGATGGGGTGAGTGACCAGGCCAATGATGTGAGAGGGACTCGGGTAGAACTTCCCTTATCACACTGTCCCTCACATTCTGGGGCCAAAGTATGACAAGATTCCTTCTGAAATGACTCACGGATTCCCCTGTTATGTCTGTCCTTTCTCTTTGGCTCTGTGAGCCCATTCTGATGTAAACTGAGAAAATGATGGATGAGCTGAAGGAAGAAAGACAATGCTCATTTCTTCCGGCATTAAGTCAGATCATGATTTTCTGCTTTTAACGGCTTTCTCCTGACATGAAAGCCAGACTCCAGGAGATCAGCTGAATCAGAGAACAATGTGGCTTGCACAAAACTTTGGATCTTTTTCTCCTCAGCTTTACAAGGAAACGAATGAAGTGTTGGAAACCCACCCAAATGATGTTGAGCTCTTCTAAAGGCCACAAAAAAATCCCAAAGAAATGAAAACCTTGAAAATCTCATGGTCTGTTGACCTACTCATACCAGAGTTGGAAATTTCTGACTGTCCATTTCTAAATTTTCTCCTAGTTCAGTTACTAATGACTATTGGCTCTTGAGAATCTCTAAAAGAAAGCGAAGAGGCCTGTTTGGGGAGAATGGGACTATAAATTGTCATACTGACTGTGTTTGGGTGGTGCATGTTAGAAAATTTTTCTGTACAAAAGTATGTTCCTATTCATTTAAGATGGATGTATAAGATGGAGACAAAAATGAAATTTGTCTTACTGTTAGCTTACTTAATAGTCACTTAGTAGCAATAAAGATTGACCAGCATCTAGTATAATCTTTTGGTGGAAAATTTCTCAGTTTTCAGGTGAAACATTTCCTTTTGCAATGAAGGTGAGTATTTTGTTGCTGTTGTTGTGTATACCAGGAAGGCCTTCGCTTCACAGGGTGGCCCACTGCCTGGAGTCTATGATTTGGATGCATCCTCTCACTCTGGGTCTTCTTCCTCTTCAGCTCCGTCAGCGGCAGAAGGCTCAAAAGAAGGCAAGGCCCCTACATAGCCGAAGGCCTCAGACTCGCAGATCAAGCTCAAGAAGATCTGGATATGCTTTTGCTCACCAAGAGGGCTATGGAGAGCTTATCACATCTGGAAAAAATATGCGAGCTAAAAATCTACCCCCAACATCAGGGTTGGAAAAGACACTGTATAATAGCACTAGTTGGATTGAAAATTTATGTAAAAAAACCACAGACACAGTGAGCAGCTTCAGCCAGGATAAAACAGTGAAACTGTGAGGCAAGATGAATTTGAACCGCATAGTTATCTTTTCACTTCAGCTGGAGCTGAAATTCAGCTGGCTCCAGAGTCTGGGATCGGGGGTTTGGGGTGGGGCAGACTGCCTTACTTGATTTAAATCTGTGGCAGACAGCTGCCAGTGCCCATCAAATGGCGCTGTGCTCTATGGGGAAACCAGGCCAGATGGTCACTGTCGAATTCGTGATTTGGTGGACAGACAGACCTCTCACAAGACAAGCACAGGTTTTTAACAACCTAGATACCAATGGACCTGAACTTCAGAATCTTATTTATGGAGAAAAACTTGTAAGTCTGCATATACATTGAATGAATCTTCAGATGGATAAAACGGTGCAATCAAAAGGTAATCAAAATATCCCAGCTGAAGAGTGTGCTTGTTGACAGATAAACACGTATAGGTAAGCTCAGCCTTTCCCAGGATATGCTTTTAAGATTTAAAATGCGTCCTAAGGTGCTTTCAGACTAAGAGCAGCTTGTCACTTTCCAGTCTTGATATCTACCTGTGTGTTCAACTGAGACAACACATCCCCTTCCGGCCTGAAGAGTAGAGGAATGTGTTGGTGTTCCTCATTTTTCTACTAGTTTAGAGATGAAGTAGAGTGAGCATCTTTACAGTGGGATGGGCTGGTAATGTGGTCAAATTTATTCAAAAAGCTCTGGGGCACATGTTCATGAAATGTCAGAGGCTCTCTAGTAGGTAGTCTAAGTACTTTTTAATGACTTTTATAACAGCCTCAATGATAGTTTGCCCCGAGTCATCCAAAATCATTAATAGAACCAGCAAAGCACTGGAATTTCACCCTTTAATGATTGTTTTTCATATAGTATATGGGCAAATACCTTCCAAGTTTCCAATTTTAAAAAGTTCAGATTTGAAACCAAACAGATTAATAAACAATCTCTTCAATTACTATTTAAATGCTCAGGCTTAGATCATTCAGAGTTAGTTGCTTTTGATCATCAGCTGTCTTGTTTATAATTCAAACATGGAAACATGTAGTTGAGGTTGATTTTTTGGAGATGGTTCGGTGCAAATTTTCAGTCCACATGTGAATTCCCACTGTAATTCCTGTGAGATTTGTGTCCGAACTCCAGCTCTATCGCGTCTTACCTCTCTCACTTTGGGCAGGTAATGTGCCTCCTCTGAGATTTTGTTTCTTCCTCTGTAAAATGAGGATATACTACCTACCTCATGTGGTTGTTTGAGGATTATCAAAGCACAAACTTTCGAATCATTAAAAACATAATTCTCATATGAATAGATGATGAGTTAAGTTCCATTTAACTCATAGTCAGAATAACAGAGCAGCTTGAAGAGAATGTGAAGAACTGGAATTGAAGTAGTCAGTGGGAAAGGCCTTGATGAAATGAGATTGCAAAGTAAGCTATAAAACCGGTTAGTGTCCTACAGGGAAATAAAACGATAACCTTGGAGGTAAATTTCAGAAGCAAAAACCAATCATCATCCATGCCTTATCAATTTCTACAAGTCAACCTCCAATTCTTCAGGAGCCTTAATTTCGTCCCTATTGAATTAGTAGTCAAAGTTATATTTCCCAGGAGTCAGATGGCCCTTGGATGGGTTTGATGGATAATGGGCTAGGGTGATATTAATTGATCACATAATGCTTTCTTTTTGGTCTTAATTTCCAAGTCTGGGATAATTTTTCCTAAATGGGATCAAATGAGCTATGTGTGAAAGAGCCTCCTACAGTGCTTTAGTCATAATAAATGCTCATACATGTTCCCTTTTCCCTTACATGCCTGCATAGACTTACCCAGATGTTAGTTTTCAATGTCTAAATTTGTCATTAGTTTCACTGAGTTTGCTGGCTTTTTGTAACGTTTTTGAAAGATTTGAAAAGTTTCAGTAAATGTTTTGGCACTACTGGCGTTTGATGTTGTGTCTCTTCTTCATCGGGAACTCACTGGGGAGAGTTGGTCAACCGATTTTTTTTCTCCTCCTCTACATGTCTGGGGAAAATGTACATCAGTCTTAGGATCAGAGTCAAGAATAAAATGAACCAATTGGGCCTATATGTAAGGGATAGGAAAGATAAGGAACGTCCAAGTTTGCAAGTTTAGTTTAAATTAAATAAGGCTGTTTATAAACAAAGTAGATGATTGTGAGAGAAACACATTATCAGTTTACTTTGGCCCCAGGAGATTCAAACAAGCTCACACACCCATTGCAAGAGCATTCAATTATAAATGCCGGAGAATTTTTTGAACCTTAAGATAAAGAGCCTGAGGGGTGGACGGTGATGGTGGTGTACCGGGGAACAGTAAAATTTTAATTTTACATAAATGTTATCATATTATTTGGAAAGGAAAAAAACCTTTTTCTAGACTTGGGACTGAAGTTGGTAACCTTGTGTTTTTAAAGTCTCAGTCCAAGTTTTGAGCTCTTATAAGGCGATTGCAAATTGTATTTCCCTGACTTAGATCTGCTATCTTTGTCTCTCTCTTCTGCCTCCGGGTACACATACCTGTGGAGGAAAGAAAGCTAGAGAGGAAGGAAGGAATGGAGGGAAGAAAGGAGGAAGGGAGAAAAGTTTCCAGTTATATCTCTCTTAAGATGACCTGACTCTCTGAAAAAGAAATTTAATTCCTTAAAAGAAAAACATTGGATTGTATTTGAGATGTGAATAACAAAATCTCCTTTGTAGTCACTGTGAGATCAAGAAAAGATTATTTGAAAAGGGGCCAGTTGCTCTGGCTCCCTCACAGCAGTGCTGCTGGTGTATGCGAGGCAGGCATGCCATCTGACTCCCTGGGTCTTAGCATCTTAGTCCGTTAGTGGGGAGATTGGACATATGGTCTCCAAGACCCTTTCTCATTCGCTCTTTCTGTGAGCTGTTCTTGCCCGTATTTCCCACTGTGTGTTTGCACTTGGTTTTGATTGGAGAGAGACAGAAGAAGAGAGAGGCAGAGATGCTCTCTCTCGAGGGCAGAGCTTGGCTCTTGTCAGGGTTGGTATTTCTCTTGATCAACCCCTGGGGTCCTGCTTTCTTGGCTCTCACTCAGCCCACCACAGAGGACTAAACCCTATGGTCGTGCTTTGGCCTGGGTCAGCTGAACACACTCAATTTCTTGTTAATGATTCACTAAGGTCTTATATCCACCCTTTCCTCTCCTCTCTGCCATTTTAAATATCAAAAATATACAGAAACGAAGGTAAGATACTCACGCCCAGTAAGAAGAGGGCCATTTGAAAGTCCTCTCTACCTTGTCCCTGGGCTTAAAGGAGATTCTTCGGGCCTCAGCTTCCTCAAGATTCAAGCTGAAACAGTAGAGCTTGAGTGATTTACTTCATACTTATAAAGAACTTTTCAGTTTGTGCATCAACTGAACTTTTTGGCTTTAAGTATCAGTTTGTACATTCTTTGAGCCTTCAACAACCCTGTGAGGGGGTCAGGACATTCATGTTAAACCTATTTTATGAAGAGGAAATTGAGGCACAGAGAGGTTAAGTGCTTTGCCCAATATCACACAGAAACTAAAAGAGCTGGAAGTCGCTCAGCTCTGCCACCAAATCCAAAGCTCACTACTTATGACTTCTCATTCCACCCTAGCTCCTCTCATAGATTTGTGATTTCTAAACATTCCACCCTCCTTCTAAAATAGTCATTCTGTTTCTCAAGTGTACAGATTCAGGGACGGAGTGTAAACAATGTCAAAACGTTTTGCAATGTCTATTTCAGGTGTTCTCTTTCCCTCTCAATGCAAATAAGCAAGATTTCCTCCTTTCCTTCCTTTCCCTTATGCATTTCATGAAGTTAGAGAGGTGTGGAGGACACACAAGGGAAATCAACACGCCTCAAACTATTTTTAGAAATTTCTAGAAAATGCAAAAATCAGAAAGGCTTCTGATTTTTACGGTAAGGAATTGCATTACTGTGTTACTGTGTGCACAAAATGTCTTGAGATTGATACGATCTAATTAGTTAAAGCACTCAGAAGTATTATTTTACATTAAAAAAAAATTGGACACAAAGTTTAATGGTGGAAGAAGCCAGAAATGATGACGCCTTCTGGACCGTGATGGGCTTTTGCAGGTCAGGGGTCAGATAATCATGTGGGGCCACAATTTTCCAATTTTTGCATTAACATCTGGTATTAAATGTCTGCTGTTTGCTCTACTGCGTCACATTTCATTCCTCGGTGAGAAATCATAAACTTTTGCAATTCCCTAGCCTAAGCATTTCGCTGAACTGCCTGGAAGCCAGAATTAGATGACCCATGTGTTTCAAAATGCTCATTGCAAAAGATTCGGAGGACCTGGCTGGGCTAATCTGTAGGTTGGGACCCATGACTTAACCGAGAAAGGGGCCTATGTGTCCTCATGTTTCAACACTTCCTGGCAGACCTATTCTTGTAACTGGTGCAGAATGCAAATCAGCTTGGAGCTGCGTAAATAAACGACCAGAGTTCAAGAAATACTAATGATGAGTTGGCCAGAAATCTCTGGCTATCTCAATTCGAATTCCCGTAAGGTTTACAAGGGCAATTTAAAGTTTTTAATAAACTGCAGCCCTGGGCTTATACAGAAAAATCTTGTTGAACCAGGATGCATGGAAAGATGATGGTTAACTTAATTTGGAAGTGATCAAGGAGAAATCCAGTCGTTTCATCCTTGTCACAAATGTTTCTATGCTCCGTGCCTCCTTCCAGGTAAATGTGAGCAGTGAGTAGGATGCGGTCGATGATTTTGCTTCTGGTCCCCTTTCTGACTCCCTCTTCTCAGTGTGCAGCACTATGTAAATATAGAAGCAGAGCTGATGTACAGAGATTGGACAGGAATTGCACTGACTCCAGAAAATCCTCAGTAGAGGTTTTGAATAACATTCATGTTACTTTCTTGAGATGATGTCACTTTCATTAAGTGATGATTGAAAAAGAATTAATTTGAGATCACGATTAGGTGATTGGAGGAGATATTAAAACTTTTATCCATCAGTTCGGCAGGAACGTTGACCAGTAAGAATTGACATGGGCCATTAATGGCTGGCGCTGCCCCCCTGCTGATGGCAGCTGGCACTCAGCATTATTCTGACCACACTCTAAGTCGCATATGAAAACAATGCCTATTTTTCTTTATAAGGTGCCTACTTGGTTTGAACTAGATAGAAACAAGATTTATAGGCCAAGTAATCAACAGATACTATAGGACAGGTCAAAATATTTTCTTGATATTGCTTTGCTGTCCCAGCTAATAGCTTACATTTTCTACAGCCGTAAGATGATGTATTTTGAACAACATGAATCATTTCTAGCTGCACAACATTAATGAGAAAATATCCTTAGATGTTGTGAATGGTTTCTTATCTGTATGAATTACTGACATTATTGATCAAATAACTTTACAAATAAAACATTTATAAATAATTGTGGTTCGGGAGTCTGGGAGTTTAGTTAAATTTTTGGTGCTAGAAAAGATCACCGGAAATATCTTTTTGATTGGCAGGACTTTGTTTTCTGGTTCCATTTCCTCCTCAAAGTTCTCAGTGGAAGGTTTACACATAGTTTGCACCTAGTGCACATTTCGTTATCTCAGATGAAATGTGCTAAAGCACTTTGCACTACTGGGCTGAGCCCTGAGTGTGTGAGGAGGCGAGGAGGGTCTGAGATACTAAGAAACAGAAACTCTTTCTTTTTCCCTCCCTTGGGGAGGTTCTACTGCAGAATCTTTCTACTGCACGTTACGCACGCCATAGTGCATTGAATTTAAGATGCTCCCATTTCAAAGATGTACCATTAATTTATATACTACATGAAAACCAAAAAAATTGCCAATTAGAGTTGCAAAGATGCCATGGCATGAGAGACTTATTCCTCATTTCAGAGATACTAAAATATGAAATATGGTAATTTCTGGATTGTAGGAGTTTGAGAAATGGCTGGTGAAAAAATACAGTGTATGGTGACTACTTTTTAAAGATGTGTGAAGGGGATAATAGTTGCAGTAGTTATTAGAGGTTGGAAATATTTTATTTTTTTAGAAAAAAAAAGAAACAATGATTTTTTTTGCAGCCAAAGGAAAGGGAGGGCCTGGAGAGGCAGGGCAAGAGGGCATGCTCTCGGGGGAACATTTCCGAGGGCCTCTTCACGGAGTGTTAATGATGCCAAGAACAGTGAGTGAGCTGCTGTAATGAGCCTGGGCAGATGCACACCCCCCACCAGAGGATAGGTCACCTCCAGGGCAACTCCCTGGGACCTATGGGGTTTGCCCAGTGCTCAGAGAGCGTCACGTCCTTCTTAGAACCCTGCTGCTTGGCCTAGGGAGTCCCTGGGACTTAACTGCTATCATTCTGGCAGTTAACCTGATTAACTTACTTGTATTTTATTCTCTGCTGCAGCATTCTCACAAAAAGAATGAGAAAGTTACTTATTGATGGATTCCCTTATTAATCGCATAAAGAAGGCAGATGGTGCGAGGACTGAGAGTCTGGGCTCTGGGGTCAGGAGCCTGGCTGTAGCTCCAGCCCCTCAGGCAACTTTCTTAACCTTCACTTCTAGCTGTCCTTTTCTTATGCAGCAGCCCACTGGAATAGTAATCTTACCTACGCGGCTGGCTCCTGTCGGATGAGAGAAAGCTTGTTGCAAAACACTTGTCATAGTGCCTGGCTCACACGCCATGCCAAATAAATACAAATAAATAAATACAAGCTGTCCATGTTACCAGAAGAGCAGCCAAGGGTTGGTAATCCAGAGGGCTGCATTTTACTTGCCTTAGAAGAGATTTAACAGCCCTTTGTTTTGAAATATTCAGTTCAAGGAGGCTAGATAGAGCTGGATTGTTGGAGAGAAGGAGGGACTCTGGGGGTTGAGGAGAAGCCTCAGTGACTGAATGACAGAAGGATCTGAATTTCTCAAACCTGGGAGATGAAGGG